CGATGTATGTTACTCTGAAGCTGTTCACGACGCCAGCATTCCTGTTCCTATGCTCCAACCCATCCAACCTCGCATACGTAAAGATACGAGATTATATGACCGTACAGCTGCCACTGATGAAGACCCTTTCCACGATTGGGATGAAAATTACTCCGTCAAATTCAAAAAGTCTCGCAAAAAACCAGTTAGTTCTTTCCTACTTGTCATGTGACTTCTACTAAATGTTCCGCACAGTTGCCTCCACCTCCGCTCCCACAGCTGCCCGAAGCATCACTTCCCAGAACGAGTCACCAGGACTCGATGCTCGCTCTTCTGGAGTCACATATCCTGTATCACAATCCCAACGAATCTGTTCACTTTTTCCCAGTTTCTACGCAACGCTGCAGCGGGGAATCGCGAAAATCTTCTCTGGATGCTCCCTCTATCACCTCCATGGGGTCGAATGGCAGATTCAGACGCATTTCTGATGCTCTGACCGGCCGTTCTCGAAAACCCACTGCTTGAAACCCCGCCGGCTTCATTGAATGTAAAGTCATCATTTCAGCTTTTTCGATCACTCGACAAAATCGGCATGCCGTACCACCATTCCTTGACTGTTATATCTACCTTAGCCTAATCGCATGCAGCAGGAACTCCATTTGCGACCTTGATACCCTCCGACGTTATCCTAATTTGTGCTTCATTTGTTTGTTTTATAGGTGTATTTTGGATTTCTTACCATCTCATGACAACCGACTGTTCAAAATTACTACACAGTCGCCTCTTCTTATCTTGGTCGCTAGTTACGATGGATCAGTGACGTACGATTCAGCATGGATAGCGCCTCGAATGAAATAATGATCCTTAAAGATGACGTATGGCGGCGATTCTCGAGTATCTTACCCAAGTCTTACCTCATGGTCAGTCGTTTGGTCGGCCACCCGGTGTTATTTGACTATGCAACTTTCAAATGCGGACTCGCTTCGGTTTTACACGGGCGAATAGTTAATTGTTTTTGGGAGGGCGTAAAACGATGCCTATTCCGCCCAATATCTGATGGCTGAAGGTTGAAGTAACGGCATATGGGAGTGGAAGTCGAAGGACATGAATCAGTGATATTCGGACGAAATGGACATATCATTCGAAGTACTAGTGATTGGCTATGAGAGCATCGAGAACACCCATAAATACCCTGATCCCTCGGGAAGAGGAACGCGGAAAGTAAAGTTTACTTCTTGTGCAGTTGGTCTCCAACGGAACATTTGGATATGAACAACGAACTTCAATCATGATAGGACAGACCTCGTGAGCCGTTATGGGGGATACAGACATTAAAATACCATGCCAACTTGAATTCTAGGCTGGTCTGGCTGGCTTCGTGCCCCTTCGTGCTCGGAAACACCAGCTAAATACACGCCTATCAACATCCTGTGGGAGCCTGTGGGCGAGAAGTTGATGACAGAACAGGCTACCAACGCTTTGGTGCTTCTTGGTTGCTATGAGTTCCTATGCAAATGGTTTGCTTGGGAAATTTACCAGCTCGAGGCCGATCATTATCGACGTATGATCCGAAGTGGATGATCTAGACCACTGGACCTACCCGCCAGCCATCCTTTTTTACTTTGTCATGAAAGCTGCAGGAATGGCGCAGTCGAGTTGCTCGGCTTGCTCCTTCGAGAAAATGGCCAGGGCACAAGGAAAACCAAGTGGAAATATTGTGGCTGGTGATGAGCATTGTACATCGCAAGCGCTCACTTACCACCACCACCACCACTACAGTGCTACCCTGTTCTTGCAGTCGACAGCAGCAATAATCCACGGTTGATGGTGGTATACCGCAATGGGTGAGTGCGCTTGGAGCGAGTTGCTTGCAAGTTACAAAATTTCTATAGATAGTAACTTAGGCCCGGGCTCAAATTTCAAGTGGGGTTACATAGGCGCCTGCCCGTCTGCCCAACCAGTTGGACTGGCCGCATATTGCAAGAACGCCAGCAACCTCTTAACAACATGTCTACTACAGTGAACATACCTTTCGATCTTCTTCAACCTGTTCTCATACATTTACCTGATCGGAGGCATCTGAGTGCAGCTGCACTAGTCAGCCGGGCGTTCAATCGCGCAGTGACTCCGCTTTTGTACAGGAGGCTCGATTCACGAGTGAAGCGAAATGTGCGATTACTCTTCATCTCGCGAGTAAGTATCTAAAATTATATTCACTACAATCAGATCCTTCACCATCCCTCTGCAACCCTTCTCAAACGACCAGAATTGGCACAGTATGTCTGGCATGTGACGGAGACAGGCAAGTGGCGAGGTTCCAGACTTGTAATTGGCTTGATCGCCCCCACTACACAGGCGCAGTGCAGAACTTGCGACAAGTTATTCCTCAGATCACAGAGGATATTGTTGCAGCGCTTAGACTTTGTACAAATCTCACATCTGCAACTTGGGTGGACGACACGACGACTCCAGAGGCGAATTTTCTACCCATACTGGATGTCTTGATGACGTTACCCTTGCAGGAGCTTACCATACGCACCCAGTATGATCCAGGAGAACGAGTTTGGGCCCGGCTCAATACTATTCAGGGCATTCGTCGCCTATCAGTCTGGTCTTTGGAGTGGGGCCCCCCGCGGGTGCTTCAAGGATGGGCTGATTTGCTGAGCTCCTCTTTAACGCACCTTGAACTTGGCGTAAGGGAGCTTTTGATTTCCCTCCCTCTGTTTCCTTATTCCGTTCACAGCGTTGTGCAGGTGTTCCCGCAACTATCCTCGTCTCCGTCTTCATGAAACTTCCTCTTTTACAAGAACTCTGTCTCAAGGGTGCTCCAAGCGCCGCCATCCCGGCTATAATTGCTTGTCTGCCCAATCTGATAGCCCTTGACACGGAATATCTAGGCTCTGGAAATTACCGCACGCCGCTCACACCATTACCCCGTTTGCAACGCCTAACGGTACAAGCAGGATCAGTGGATATCGATGGACCGCAGAAACTATGGACATGGATGAGGATATTGCTTCCGCACCAACAAACTCTAAAGTCATTCACGCTAAATGCATTTGCAGTGCACGGTCAAATAACCATTCCGCGCCCATTCATCGTGAATCTTACTGACAGACATGGAAAGTCCCTTCAAGATTTTGCTGTGGGCGTTGCGCAGTTGACGTTAGAAACCGTATCCTATATGTGCTCAACATGCCCCCAGCTTATGACACTTGAATGCTCTGTGGCGAGTCCAGACGTAGTATGTGATTCTCGTTAGTATCGGGAAGACAAATCTCTGGTTTAATTGCTGATGTGTTTAGGATTCAATCGCAAAAGCAATCGAGGCGGGACACAACCTTCGCACTCTTACGCTTCATGTTTCTTGGATCCCTGATGGCAGCGTTGATTTACCTCCGCGGTTTGAAAAGCACTTGGGACCCCGAGCCATGTATGCAGATTTTTCCCATCTTTCTAGTGAGGGGATAGCGACTCGTTTTACCGAGGAGCACGCTCGCGCCTTGATGCTCCAGACTCGCCTTCGTAGCATTGGCATAGGGGATCAGTCCTACACGGTGAGTTTATTCTGTTCTTCTTGCGCGCCTTTGGTATTTGGACTTTGACTTGGTTGTTGAAAGTAGTCGACATTCTCATCTGTCTTCTTTAGGGTCGATGGGTTCATCGGGAATGTTCCGCCGAGGCCACGCAGGATGTCGGGAAAGAAGAAAACGTTGTGCTAGAGGTCGTTGGGGATCCATTCGTTTAGTTTTCTGGTCACCTGTCACACTGTATTTCAGATTACTTCCGTGGCCTGTGTACCATATCACTGAGTGTGCGTTAGTGAACTGAGTGCATGTGAAGAAAGCTTCAGACCATACTAAGCATACGATTTCTGGAAGGAAATAAGATCTATATCTGTCGTTGGATGGGGTATGCACAATTTTGACGAATCCACACCTCTCTACTCAGAATAGTGGAACGACTAGTTTGTGGAGTGAATACAAGAGGCCAAGTCGCGAGGATATAAAATACGGGACGCGGTTGAATCCACAACCAAATCCAGTACTTCCACACTTCATGATAGTCAATTCTTCCTGGTCGTCCCACTCCCCGTGTACACACATACGATCATCCCATGAGGCCTCGTGGGTTTATGGTATCCAGGGCCTCGAGAACGTCACAGGCGACCTAGTATAGGTAGTGAGCAGCAACATACCGCAGGTAAGATATGAGGTACGGTTTCAAACATAACTTGGTGTTGACTGTGAACAATCCAGTACGGGTGGGGAAGCAGGTAACATCACAGCGCGAGAGTAGTATCTTATTCGTCGTCCAGCAGCTCTGAGTCCAGCAACGGTAGTTCGAAGCGTCGACGCCAGAATCCTCGAACTAACAATCTAAATTTGTCGGGTCCCACTCCATCCAGGAAGCTAAGGAACGGAAGGTTGCGGACGCAGCAACCTTGTAAGGTGTATACAACAGGTAGAGATAGGGGTCCGACATCAAGGCATCGGCGGGAAATGTATCATGCGAAGTCCCAAAACCAAATCTTGCTTGTTGAAGACGCTATTGGCAGATTTATGGTCGTAAATGCTCGAGCCTGGTGCTGCACTGCTGCTGCGTGGATAGATGCGTCGCTCAAACATCTAACACATCTCAGGAGAGTATACCCGTGTAAATGGTTGCTGTGACTTGCCGTCCGTCCATAATCCATAATCTGTCATGGGGGGAGAGTGCATGTTACTGGTGAAGATTTGTGAGCGTGATGGCGTATATGTACGCCTCCATCCGTAGGTTCAGGGATAATAGGCGTGACGGGAAACTTTGGAGGCATGTACATCGCGTTTTGACTTGGAGAAAAGTCCACGTCCAACAAAATGGGAGCATTGCCAGATGGCGAGTCGACATCAGTCGTATCAGAATCGCAGGCATGCGATGGAAATGAGACTGAAGTTGTGAGCTCTCTCTTCAGGGTCACTGAAGCAGCCGGCGGTACCAACGAAAGCTTGTACGTTTTGTCCGGTAGCGGCTGTCCCAGCTTCTTCGCCTTTGATTTGCGAGCCCAGAGCCAGCCGTCGACGCGCACTGGACTTATGTTCCATGAGGTGGCCCACGCATGTCGCGACGCACGTATTGGAATGCGGGAGTCAGATATCCAGATTGCCCGAAGCTCTTCTAGGTTAGGTTGGATGGAGTTAGCTCTAGGATGAGGGCTTTCTGAATCATACATACATGCATACCAGGAAGGGAGAGTACATTCTGTTGTAGTTGTGGCCTGCAGTTGAGAATGGACACGCACCGACACTGGCGGGATGGTATGAACGTCGAGAATAACGGTGTAATAAAACTCCGACGGGCATCTGCGCCACTGCTACGGTAGGCTACGGTGCTCCCAGGACCCAAGCGGTGAGAGCGCAACTGCTAGTCACTGGAACCTCCTAGTTCTTGTCCTCCACATGAGCCATAGAGTCAAGCGTGCGCCGAATCCTTATATTTATATCCATGCTCGCAAAGTTATGGTCAGGCGGTGTCATCAAGATTCACACAGCTTGTAGTGCTCCCAGTCTGCAAGTCAAGTCTTCCACATATTGTTTCAATGACTGTCTTCTTTATCACTAACAATCTTTTAAATTACACTGTGTTCTGATTCCTCCGCATACAATGTTATAATGTTATTTTACTTTCTTCCGAACGAGTGACTGCGCAGTTGCGGGCATCATCTCAAGACGCGGTCAGTGCCACCGTTCTTCGCTTTCTCGGTCCTGACGTGTCTTGTCGCTGTCACTAAAACCCGGCCCACGCTAAGGTGATTGTTAACTAGGACCGTTTCGAAAGTCAGAAAGCATAGCACCTCAAGCTCATGTTTGGATTTCCTTCATTGCGATCCTCATGGTATGGAAGCCCAGCAAATGGGTCCCAACCATGTTGATGGTTCCCAGTATTCAGGCCCCGCTGATAGTTTCCTGCAAAGCCCGACTAAGCCGACTTCTCGAACCAGTGCTGTTCGAAGACCAACAGACATTCTTGGTCAACGTCCTCGTGTGGATCATATATGTGCTTCTACCGGTCTGCTTCAAAAGGGTTGTCCATGCGGCCTCAAGAATGAATTCTTCCTGCGTATCCGTGGCGCCATCTCTGGGGTAGTCGGGATCCGCCTCAATATGCTGCGCTTGTTGTATGCGAGCACGATGCCGAGTGCGTGACCAAATGCTATGCAGCCTAACCATTGCACCACAGTTTCTTTTGCCTCTTCGATGTTATCAAATATCCAATGGGCGACATAAATTAGCATGGGTACCTTTCACCTGTTTGATGTCTGACTTGGCGTTGCGCGGGTACATAATGTCCACAGCCCTGATACTATTTCTGCCTTTCCAGTCACTGCTGACTGCGTCTTACTCCTCTATGATAAGTTTTTTCTTCTGTTTTTCTCCTCTTTTGATTATAATTTTGCCTTGCACAACTCTTGTCACAGTGCACTCTCATACTAGTGCACCCTCACATGCCACTACCTTGCATGTAGGTCTCTCCCTTGTTTATTTCTCTTCTTATTTTACTAATATAATGATATTCGTTTCCAGTATGTGATGTGTTTTAGAAGGTATGGGAAAAAGTGAATGATGTTCCTTCACCTTCACTCTGTCGCTACGCGTCCAATTTTGTAGCAACCTTGCTGTTAGTTTTGATGAGTTGCTATCTGGAAATGCGACCTCGCTATCTATAATCAGGCCTTCGTAGAAGCTACGAAAGAGCCTTGTCCATGCAGTTCTGTCGCTTGGGCTGTGTTTCTTAAGATGTGTTCGACTTCTAGATTGTTTATCCGTCGATTCTGGTACTCCATGAGGCTCTTCTAACATCATTCGCCGTGAAGTTCTACCATCCAGGCACAACCAGTCTGCCAAATCAACAAAACTTCGAGTTTTACCCACAATAATATTTTCAGGATATAAAAGCATGCCCTGTCCGCCTTAGTAGTTCGGAGTCACCTTTGCAACAAAGCTTGTGTCACTTCGCATGAATCATGCATCTATCCTTCCTCCCCCTCGTCACTGCTTTGGCAGCATGTATGTCTGTTACTGTATGCAGTCCCCTTTTCGTGTCCTGCATAAAGGCCAGTGATTGCTGTAGTGGCCTTCGTTGTAATTTGAAGTCGGTGAGTACGAGTTGTCTACTTTGCATCCAGGATTCAACCCGTTGCTCATCCCTTGCACCTTGCAATATTATTAGCTTACCACCGGTGATAAATACTGCAGTAATTAGACTGCTTACCGAAGGGCTGGCAGCCTGTCCATGAGCATATCTGGACAGTGAGTCGTGTTTCTGCTTTCGCATTGGCGCTGTGGCTGATGGCACAACACGTAGTTTGTTGCTGACTTGGTCGACGTGGTTGTTCCAATGGAGGCGCCTTTGAATTAATTTGAATACTCAATATTGACCAACTTGAAACGACGTCAGGAGTAATCTCAATGTCCAGATTTGTGCCGCGTCATTCAGAGCTTGAGTGTCCATTGCCGAAGTCTGCATTATGTACATAGTGGCTGTGGCAGTCGAGGCGAAAATTTTGACCACTGCTAATGGGCGCGTCAAATGACGCTTTCAATGCCTGTTCAGTATCGTCTATCAGACTCGCCATTACAGACATCATCATTGACACTGATGCGAGTGTCGCTCCTTTCATCACTCGATGCGCTAAATGTTTATAATTAGCCCCTTTATTAGACGTACGTATCTTTGAGTACTGCCTCAGAATTGCGAACACCCCCACTTATGCAACTCGCCAAGTCAATTCCCGGCTCCATAGTAAAGCGAGAACAGTGGGTCCTCCGAGTGGATGGCTAATATTACCACACACGAATTGAGCAGATCATGGACAACCACGGTGGTTGGAACGTTGATGCATGCACTTTTGGAAAACAGGAGCCTCAGGGGGTGTATCATTGCATACCTAAATGCGTATGTTACTAATAGTTTGTCGTTCTTCTACTCGCCTTTTGGATGTGGGGTAGATAGAAATCAAACGGCTTGAATCTATTATGCATAACATCAGGAAAACGCAATTTGCTACAGAGCGTTACAGAGCGCTCCGTAGCATGCTGTAGCACAATCCAACCCACTGATGAACCCATACATTCCATTCACGATCCTGCCAATCATCGAAGTCCAAATCAAAACTAAGGTGTTGCACGATCGGGCCATCGTGGATGCGGCGAGCATTCCTTATCAGTCCTAATTGATACATACGTCACAGTGAATCGGTTACCAAGCCATGCAAGGGAATGTTAAGCCGGACATGTTAGCCACCTCCGAGTCGTTTTTGTGCAAATAAATAAAGGGGGGCTGACCTCGACGCCTAGTCCGTACCCTCCATGCTGGCAAGTACCACATTTGCGCTGTTCAGTGTACTAGTAATAAGGGGAAAGGTCAATGCGCTCGTGCTTGTACGCCGCCAGTAGCTCTTCCATATCTGCTATCCTCATCGATCCGCCAATCGCGTATTTAGTCATAGGCAGTACCGCCCTGCAGTTCAGAATCTCACATACCAACAATTTCTCTTGACACCAGACATCAAAAGGTCACAGCTCTGTGTACACAGGGCCCTGCTTTCCCTCTTTCGTTGCCATCTTCTGCATGTGGAATGCCTTCAGCTCCGCAGGGAAGCCATATAAAGAGTCCGGCACCCAAAGAGCATCAATCAAACGGCGCACCTGAACGGTCATAGCGGGGGGTGAGGTCCCCAACACCCAGCGGTTGATCTGAACGATTTTTATCATTTCTCTGGTTGGGATAGAAAAATTTGAATATATGTTTGATTAATTTCTAGAGGATGGTTAAAACCAGTGCACTCCGTATCTCAAAGCACTCACAAAAGCAATGGTACAAATAAACTAGCTGTTTACACAGGCTTTGCCTTTGTCTGGTATAGTTACCCCCCATGACGACCTCGCAACCGATGACGTAAAGATAGAACAGGTTTACGACAGAATAATCTTGAAAGAATTCGATCCCCTTTCCAATTAAAACACCATGCTTCACAAGATCAACTTGGCAGGCGATAACGTCGTCCATACTTGAACAAAACCGGTTCCTCCTCCACTATGTTCGCCCTCAACCCATCGAACAGAGCCTTGAATGTGTCCCCTGCTGCGGGATGCAGTGATGTGACGTTGACGCCCTTTGCCTGCGGGATCCTCGACTCTATGTTGCTCAAGAGAGGGCCCGATGAATGAGGATACAGAGAAAGAGCCTTCGAATGCGCTATGCAGGTGTACAGTCGCTGGAGCATTCGCGGTTCTTGCCTTACTGTTGAGCTGAGAATAAACTGGCGAGTTGGTATAGGTGAGTTTAAGCGGGGCGTTCGCGGTTTGTGCATCAACTCCGAATTCTCCGGCATGTCCCGAGGCAGTAGTCAAAGATACACGTGCATCAAGGGGCCTAATGTAACAACGAAGCGTTTAATATATCGAGGAATGAAAAGGAGCATGAGTACACACGCATTTGCCGTTGTTATGACCAATTCAGACGGCTTTGCAGATTCGTTATGAAATAGGTCAATATCTGCGTTGATGGCCATGTTGGTAGTAATGAGTTTGAGAGACGACGTTGAATGAAAGTGTCCTTTGATAAGCCCGTTAGCAGTGGTAAAAATCCCTGTCTCGGCTGCTACAGACTATGAAGACTTCAACTCTAAATACTTAAACCTCTAAATGATGTGGCACGAACCTGGACGTTGATCGGGAAATGCAAAGTATTTAACGAAATACTGCCAAAGAAAACAGTGGCCGACAAAGCTGAGACTTCGTGGCGGAAAAGAGGCGCAGAGGTCTTTAAACTCTTGATGTAGAGGGCATCCTCGCTCGCACTGGCAGGCAAAGTCAATGTGACATCAAACATGAGCCGATCCTTGTTATCCTGGCCAGGGAGAGGGCTCTTTGAGGTCTATTATGTAGCATTGCCCATATAATATTAGTACGACACAACATAGTGTTAAAGAAAAAAACTTGCATAGACACCGATTCCATTCTGATTTTCCTGGCGATTAAGGCGGCAAACATTTGCACGTTCAAAGGCCTCTTCTTTAAAATATGCAGCGCGTACGCGTACGATGACATCATCTGAGACCTCCGTGGACTGCTCCACGGTGACAGTGCCGTACTGGAAAGCACCCCGAGAGACGAGATACAGAGAGTCAGAGCCGACAGGAAGGGTGAAAAGTGATTCGCTGCCAAAAGGGAACTGCTGTGCCCATGATGGCAATTCATAGTATTCGTCCCACTCCGCGCTACCAATGCACCTGACGACTGCCCCATCGCTGGGATCAGGGAAACCAGGTTCATTTAAGTCTGTTGAAAACTGTGGTGCACATAAGTTGATTTCTAGTCCTGACGGCCAAAGAAAATCCCAACCTCGTAGTAGTCGGGAATACTGCGCACAATGTGGAATCTAGGGTGGGTAAACACGACAAAGAGCAGCAAGCTCACAATGCCGATACCTAAAAGCCTAGTTGCGATAGACTGGCGCGGCCGTTCCATAAATTGCGATTCGCAAGTCTGGCTATTGAGAGTAGTAGTTGGTACTGACCCGAAATCACCATATTCAACTTGAAGTTGAACAACCTCTTGTTGTCTCCGTTCATACTCGTCAGACGGCGCTTTTATGTCTAAAAGAACAAGCGAGGCCAGATGCACAGTACGATGTACATAACTGCAGATATATAGTAGATCTGCGCGCCAATATCAAAGAGTCCATGTGAAATATACTGCGGGCGCAGCGTGCTGG